ACACAGGATGTCAGCAGGAGCAATTGAAGAGGTGAGCACTGCCAGACAAGAGTGAAAGATTAACAAAGCTGAGACTGAATATCTCACAAAATCTCTACTAAGCAGTTTTTACCGTGGGATTGATAAAACAGGCATGTTTGGCTAGTTGAAGGTGGAGTTATGGAGCACTATGGTAACATAGGAAGCATTTCTGTAAGCTCTGATAACACATTTATTTTGTTTCTTATTGTATGAGTGGTGCTAAATGAACAATGAACATTTCTATTAAAAAATCCCTGCTGTTATATTGAAAGTCATTAAGGTAATACCCATGCAATTTGAAAAGTTGAAAATAGTGCAGTTCGTAATAGTATCTGAATTCATATCATTGTTCGCTCACTGCTCTGGAACCACAGTGATTGATTGCCAGTTACTGATTTCCCTGATGACATATCCATTGCTTATTCAAGGAGTATAGAAAAGGTGTGCTGGTCACGTACAAAGGAAAAGACACTTTTAAGAATTCTGAATGTTAACTGTTCACTGAATCACAAACTAATCTGTCAATTTTTTTGCTTGATAATGTCTGTTAGTCTAGTGACTATTTTTTTTTCAAAGGCTAGAAAACATAAAATAGAATAGAAGAAATTCTGATTGCACAGAAGTTAACAAACTCAGATAAATGCTTTGAGCATCAGTTAGCCAGGGAGCTGAACCAGTCACTGTCCTGACTTGGATCTCTGGATAAAGGTGGCCTTCAGCCAGCGTAAGCCTCATTCCCTTTGAAAGAATTTTTTGTGTTGCTCTACTAAAGCACAGCAGAGGTTCTCATCCCCACCTCTTACTGCTCTGCTGCTCAGGGTCTGAGCTGGGCATCCTTTCATCGCTTCAGGTTTGATTGGAAGGTAGTGTAACAAATGGTGAATTGAATCACCTCCTCACCTGTATTACCTCTGTATCCGTTGTCTTGAGCACAGTGTCTCTGTTTTCCTTCCTGCTAGTTAGGTCTCTCCCCTAGAAACAAAAATTCTAGAAGCTGTTCTCTTCACCTTTTGAACAAAGCTAAAAACCAAGAGTGTTGTTGATGCAGGCACAGCAAATTGTTAGTTAAATGGGAAAGCATTAACAAGACCACAATTAGCTCTTCAGTAAGACCAGTAAATACAGAATTAGAGGTTCATTTAATCACCGTTTAATTAAGCAACGGTCACCTTGTTGGGCGAGTATATTACCTTCATTTACATTATAGCTGCAGTGTAAGCTTAACACATTTTTCTGTAGCCCTTTGGCTAAGAATTTCAGCTTCATTACGTTACAAACAATTAGCTCCTTTGTCTAAGGTATCTGTTAGTATCACTGGGTCTCCATCTTCACTGCAGTACAGTAGGTGTTACTGTTTGCCTTGCCAGTCAGTGAATCTTCACCATTATGGTAACTTCAGCTTGTGTTGATTTTTTGACTGTACATCTATGGTGTCTGTGCTTGCCATGACTCTTTCTGAAGAAGCTCAAACCAGATTTTGCCTATCTGAGGCAACAGATTTGAAATCAAGGAATTTAACATAAGAAATCTCCTCCTGATGGTGGGGTTTCTGTCTGCTGCCACGTGAGGTGTCCATCCTTACGCTCAGTGATTGCAGGAATGTCATGTCATTTCCTTGAGAATTTTCTTACTTTGAAGCAATTTTTAAAATATCTAGTGCTGATTCTGTTTTTCCTTTCAGCTGTTTTACAAAGTATGATAATTCTGAATTAGTATTTACACTATCAGTCATTTGAAATTAGCTGTCCTAAAGTCAAAGGCACATTGGTAGGATTGTGGATAGATTAGCGAAGAAAAGTATCACAGTGACTGCAATATTCTTGCTTAACATAATACTTTTATGAACAAGTAACACACTGGAATGACACAAACTACTGTGAAACAATCTGGCAACATTTACATTGCTGCTGTAGTTGATGCCTGATAGGCATTGTAGTATTTGTGGTCAGATTACTGCAGATGTTTTTCCTAAGTTTTTTTGTTGAAACACAGTTCTTCTGGTTGTAGACCTCTCTACTAATCTCTTCCATAATTCACTGCATGTTCTTATTTTTCCTTTCTTATATATTTTTTTTTCTGTGACAGTAAAGTTGCTGTGGTCAGGGTCAAGAAGTCAGAACAGGAAAGAATGGATATTTATAGCAAGAAATGCAATGCATTAGTAAGGCTCTGAACTAGAAGTGACTGAAGCTCATAGGTGTGTGTGATGCATTAAAATACCGTGGAGATTTGGAGTTGTGTAAGATTCATTCCTGTATGATTTCTCAGTTTGGATACAGTGGCTTCTGGATAAAGTAGACTGCATCTGAATTCAAACACCCTTGTGTATATTCAGCTTGAGCATTTCTGCAGCAGGCTCTTCTGCCCTTCTAGTTCTGGGATGAGTCCAGCCACTACTAACTCCAAGCTGTTGCATTTGTGGTTCTGGATATGGCTTGTGCACATCCCATTTCACTGTTGTGAAGAATCCACAGTTTCAGAAGGTATGCATAAATGGTCATGCTTTTGTGCTTTGGCAGAGCGTGCTTCAAATATTAAGCTAAGTATTTCCCATTTGTTTTTTTTCTAGCATGGAACGTTTCTGGGATCATAGTTTTTTAAGTGATTGTAGCTTCTGTCAAAGTATGCAAGAAACACTTTGTGCAGATTTATTTTGCTAAAAACTGCATGGTTGGTGTTGTAGTGACCGTCGCACAGAGAGACAGTTTCTTCTTCCTGGTTTGACTACAAATCCTAAGGATAGTGAAATCTGCATTCAGGATGGGTTACGGGCAACCCTTTGAATTGTTGCATCCACCATCAGTTTCACAACCAGGTCACACAAGCCTCCCTGTTGTTAACTGGAACAGCAGTGATTCAGCTTTTCTTTCCTTCAGGTTTTTTTCCTCCTATCTTCTCGGTACTTTTCCTGTCTTCTTCCACATGTTCATGCCCTTGTTTGAGGAGCCAATGCCTACATAAAAAAAAAAAAAAAAAAAGCAGCCTTTATTCTTAGAACTTCTTTTAGTTAGTCTTCTTTTCAGTCATCTCACTGCCTTTGATTCTGACAAAATGCTGATTGAAGATCTGCTGTTGGCAAACACATAGTCTTTGTATGTACAAATAAATTAATACGCATCATCACATTATGTGACCTCTATGGGGCCTTTATGTAAGGTCATGTTAGGTCCTCTTTGTGGTCGAGTATAGAGGATATATTGAAAGCACTGTTGACAGCAAGATGCCCCAAAGGACCTGATAGCTACATGAAAAGAGCCAGTTGCTTTGGAAGAGGATTCATAACTGTTGGTATCTTCAGTCCAACTTTGTCCCAGACTTACTGACACAATTCTCAGTCTGTACTGAGATGTCTTGGTGACTTTTTTCAAGGAAGTGAGAACCTCAGCTGGCTCATTGAAGAAAAGAGAATCTCTCACTTTTTTCTTAAAAAAAGTTTGAGATGTTAGTACTACAATCCATCACTTGCATAATTGTGTGTTTAATTCCCTTTGTTGTCTAAGGAGGCTGAGACCTAATGTTTCCAAGAGTGAGTTGAACTAGGCTGGCTGCAAGCTGAGGTCTGTATTTGGCTTTGGTTGAAACTATGCCTTTGTGCAGCAAAGAATGAAAAAGACAGAAGGAACCAGAGAGAATCTTTACAGCCCTGTAGTAGGAGGACCACTGTGGGTTTGATCCTTATTCCATACACTTAACTCCATGTTATTCTTTATGTTAGACTAATGTTATTTGTTTCAGCAAAGATCTTACTAACTAAACCAAGATGTGATATTGTCCCAAAGCTGAAAGGAATAATATTTGCTTTGTTCCATAGTTGTATCTTGTGCTGCCATATTTTTTATTTCTTATGTTTGTTCAAAAACTACATGTAAGTGTGTATGAAAGTAGACACACGTTTATCTACAACGTGTAATTGGAATCCTGGGATGTACTAAATACTTTTTGCTGTCAAAATGTAAGAAATGTCTATTTTTTATACCCATGCCTATGCAATTTTTTCACTGAACTGTTCATTTATTATTAGTTCAATTTAGTTCTGTTTTCTCTCCCTCAGTGTGTTCTCTTCCATCAAGCTGTGGCAGACTGTGCCGTTGTGGGCCAGGAGGATCCTTTAAAAGGACATGTTCCATTTGCACTGTGTGTACTGAGGGAAGGTGAGAGCTTGCTGCCTCTGATGTTATTAAGACTTACAGAAGTTCCAGAAGTGTTAAAGGATATGAATTTCTTCACTAGGTATAAAGGCAGAAGAGGACAAAATTTTGGAAGAGATTGTTGAGCGAGTTAGAACTAACATTGGTCCAGTTGCAGCTTTCCAGAAGGGAGTCTTTGTAAAACAACTGCCAAAAACACGCTCTGGCAAGATACCACGTTCAGCTCTTTCTGCACTTGTCAGTGGAAAGCCATATAAGGTAAGTTGGAATGTATGTCTAATGCATTAGGTACACGTGCACATCCAAAGATGTGATGTCATGGTTTTGATTTTCTAACCATTCTGCAACTGGCTTGTGACATCAGGTAGTGTGTTATATTTTATTTTTACTGTGTCTTACCAAAAGATTTTAATGTTCTAGAGCTTTCCAGTACCTTTTTCTTTATTGCTTTCAAAGGCTAGATTTAGAAGGTTTTCTGAAAGAAATTCTGTCATACTTCTGAACAACAGTGATCTACTATTATGTGTCTTTATATTCTTCCATTTCAGATAACACCTACCATTGAAGATGCTGATGTATTTAAACACATTGAAGAAGTGCTAAAGAAAAATGAAACAGGATAATAGGTTGATAAGAAATGTGTCCAATACTGAAATACACTAGAGACTTTCTATTAGGAAATACCACATTTTTAAAATTAGTGATGATTTGGGACTAAATTTTTTTACACTAAAATTAATTATTGCATAGCATGACCAGTAACTTAGTTTTGGCTCATAGAGCTTGCAGGAGGTAAGTCATGAACTGAGGACAGCAATAAATAGGAATTCTAATGTGAAGACAATTGCAGACACAAATTGTCTTTGCTTGTAAATTATGAGCCTTTACATCTTTCAATTTTTTATACATTTAATTTTTTTAAAATAAGTTTTCTTGAAACCACTCTTCTTTTTTTTCCTATGTCTTTTTGCCATGAAGGCTGGATGTGGCACTTAGTGCCATGGTCTAGCCAATGTGGTAGTGTTGGATCATAGGCTGGAATTGATGATCTTAAAGGTCTTTTCCAGTTGGTGATTCTCTGAAATGAGATTACTCTAATTTTTTTAATCAATAACTTCCTGAAGTGTCTTTTTTGTAGAATGATAATTTCTTGCTTTCCTATCTGAAAATCTTAAATTGTTCATAGTAATATTCAATGCAAAACATGTATTTTAAATAAAGGCAGACATTTACCCTTTGCATGTTATGGTAACTTTGTTGTTGTGATTTGTATGGTAAAGATAATCAGAATGTGCTTTTGCTGACATAATTAGACGTTTCAGGTTCGCCGAGATATATGTAGCAAATACAGATAGCAGACAGTCCATTCCTGACTGTATAGGCCATTTCTAAGTACTTAGAGGATACTCAACAAACCAGGGGATGGAGGATAGGCTCTCTAAATGCTTTACTTCTCAAGCTGAAGGATTTTAACTGAATAGTTAATGTAAAAGTCCTCTTAAAATATAAGTTCATGGGAAAGTTTTAAAGCAGAGAAGTTACTGACACTCAGCAATGCTTTCCAGAGGAAGAAGCAGTAAGCAATGTGCAAATTCAGGTGATGTTGCTATAAAAGAGAAATTCCATATGTAGGCTAAGCTAAGGTAGAAGTTAAGTATAGACTTATTTTACTATGGCAGTGTGTTCTCAGTAGACTGTGCTGTAGCACACTTCTGTAAATTCATGGTAAGGAACAATTTGCTCATATTAATATTGACAATAAACAGTTATGTGTTGTAACCTATCTCTGCTTTCTGAGGAAGCCTGAGCTTATTAAAATTGTTTTTTTTTAAACATTTTAATTATTTTTGGGAATAATCTGAGCTCAAGACTGGGATAAAAGAAAGGGACAGAGTGGTCAGATGTATTTACTCTGCTACCACCCTGGTACTGTGGAGGATTCCAGAAATGCCAAATGTCTCCTTTATCAGCATTCAGAAAGACCACACAGAGTAAGTTACCATATTTCAACAAGACAGTCTGGAAAAATACTTGTTTCAGGGGTATTGCTTTTGTTTTCCAGAAGAACTGTGATGGCAAGAATGCTTTGTCTACAGCTTTAGCTTTGTGCCCAGCTGGAGAAAGGGAGGAGCAGTCATTCTTGTGTATGACTCTCGTGCTACCCAGCAACCTGGTTATACCATCAAGGAAGAACAAACCCATTTAACAAGTGATAGGAGAGCACTGATTTTCTCAATTTTGATTTTAGAGAGAAGCATGTGGGTGGATTTGAATGGTCAGGGAGTTACTGAAACTTGGCTGGAAGAGGTTGATGTAATAATTATTCCCAGTGTATTGAAAGGGTTGGAGCCAACTGAACAACATTTAGTATAACCACAATTTCTAGCTGATGAAAGTAGAGCTTCAGCTTGTATGAGGGAAACAGGGATATACTAGGAGATGTTTATGTATGAGCCTTAGATCAAAACTGAAGTAATGGTAATACTCCTTAAAAATAAACAAAATAAGTTATTCTGTCTGATTTCTTCCACTGGGAAAAGAAATCATTTGGGCATGCTGCACTCCTAGGGCAGGATACCTGCACCTTTGGTCGTAAGATCTTGCTCATTCTTTCTCCTGACACACCTCACTCCCCATTGCCCCTGAATTTGAGCACGAGCTGTGGCAATAGGGTCTGAAAAAGAAATTCTGTAAAACTGGTGCATATGAGGGGAAGTGTATTCAAGTGATACTGTGCCCACTGAAAATGGTGTTTGCCTTGCTTTGCCTTGTGACATTCTGCAATAAAATAATCCAAAAGGAGGCTGAGGCAGAAGAAGAAGGAGCATCAGTAAGGATGTTGGTGAAGAGCCCTGTCTCTACGGTTGTGTGCTGATCCAAGTTGTCGTATTGCGCCCATCAGCAAGGTCAGTGCTCCCTCTCGTGGCAGTTTATGGCCAGTAAATACGTGGTAACAGCCCTGTCGGTGAGAAAACGTGCTTGTGCTTCGGCTAGAAGTGTTTGGCATGCAGTTATTTTAATGCCACTACGTACAAAGCTGAATAGACTTATAAACACAAATAGCACTGAATTCGTTTTTTATTGACATTGGGGGAGAAAAATCTTTCACGATCTGATTGACTTAAGCTTGCCAAATGAAAATAGACAAAACAAATGTTTATGTACGTGCAAACATTGCAGATCAAACTGCTAAAAGAAATAACTAAAAGACAGGTCTTGAGCTAAGATCAAGCAGCAGAAAAATAGCAAATAGGCAAATGACTATTAAGTAGGTCTTACTTTGAAACTTCCCATTTAAACAAAGAATAAACGACAATAACACCACCAAATAAAGCCACAGCAGATAATAGTTGCTCTTCTAAACTTTTATACACTATATATTAATCACTCTGTCTTTCAGTTATTTCCTCTGATAAAGCTGACTTCCATGAAGTCTCAGCAAGGCCATCTTGGCTAAAAGCATAACGTTAGACAGGAGCCTGTCTAATGCCCTGTTATAATAAAGAAATGGTGGGGTTTGGCTTCCTTAATTTTCTTCATTGAATATATCTGAAAATCAGAATCTGATTGTCTGATTCTATGCAAATATTAGATTCAATTTTCCAGTGTTGGCTGCTGTCTGAAGATCCTGGAACGAAAAGATGGCTCTTGGGAAAGCAAGATTCTTCTTGATCCGCAGGCAACATAGAAGAAAGTTTTTTATTTTTTTATAAATCATGTTTTATTAAATTGCCTTTTTTTTTTTTTTTTGTAAACAGTTCTTGTGGGTTTATTTGTTTTTTTTTAAGAGGTGAGCCATCATGGAGCTTCTCTACAGATATTTGACATTTTCATTTTGTCTTTAGAGTTCCATTTTGGCTCCAGTTCCAGGTTATGTCATTCTGTTATACATCATCAGAGGCAAGTATTCGGCTTTAAATATTGACAGATTTTTCTCAGTAGGAACATGTTGAAGCTTCTAACTCTGCTAAACATATTAATTTGACTGTTACAATCCAAAAAACTGTAAAAATGGTGGAATGGAAAGATACAAACAGTATTATTGACACTGTGTTGTCAAATGTTTCCACTGAGACCCCGTGTACCATAGATTTTATTTTTTAAAAAATCATATTTATATCCATTTACATAAGACTTACACATTTTAAAAGAAATACATACACAGTAAATACGTAAATGTCTAGTATTTTACAATAAAATGGATGGAACAATGTAAAAATGAGTGGCTTCATTTGATAAAAGCTTTGGATGTGCACTACTGCCAGAATTCTGATGACAGAGATGCTGAAAGGGGGAGGTTGTTTAGTTTTTCTTTTATTTTTGTAGCAATTTAGATATTTTTTAATTCGTATTTTAAACTAACCAGTACATGAAAGGAATATCATGTCTGTTTGTCTGATAAATCTTATGTGTTTTCTTCCCTATTACCCTGTTCTTGCGGAGAGTTTTTATGCTCTTTTTCCTAAGTAGTGGTAGTGCACTTCAGGTAAAGTAGAAGAAAGAGATGACATCTAAGGGAAAAAATAAACAAACATTAATTAGTGACATTCTTTGATTCTAATTTGGTCTAGGATGCAATGACGCCAGAAAATATTATAGCACTAAGTAAGCTATTGTATGTTTTACTAAAACATGGGTTTTCAGTATCTGAGGGAGACATGCATTTAGATCTGCAACATAAATCTATTAATAATAATGCATTTTAATCTTTTACTAATGTATACAGATTTATTTTTTTTATCCTAGATCAAAACAGACTACTGCTTATGCTCATTTTGCAGTTGTTTTCTTACTGCTTTGATTCAGCACTGGGGTTAATTTCCTGCATCTGGAGATCTTTGCCTGTTTGGCACAAAACTGAACACACATTTTAAGTGTATAGACCTTGTTGATGTACTCTGTGATTCTCCTTGTTCACTGCACCTTGACAGCATTTACCTTTTTTACCCTGGTGACTTCTTTGCTATGGACCAGCTGTTTCCAGACTATCATTTACATCTTTGTGGAACTACTCTTCTCAGTCTGTCTTTACAAATCCTTTTTGGGAACCTTCATTGATAAAATACATAGTAGCTTTTGGTAAATCCCCTTTGACATTTCATTAGAATAAAAGTGAAACTAGCATTGTCCCAGTCTGTGGCAACAGAAGTGTCCTGGCTGAACCTTCTGACTTGGTGGAAACAAGCATTTCATAAGAGAAGGGTGTCGGATAATCTTAAATTAATTTTTGTTAACATACCAATTTTCAATTTGTGCCCTTGTTGTACTCTTCAAACATATTGGAAAATACCAGCTCATGTGCCTGACTTGTTGTTGACCTAGTAGTTGCTTGGCATTTGGACTTTTAATTTCTTGGTTATAGTTCAGTGCTTTCAACATTACAATTCTGAAGCACACAGAAGAAAAGATAAGCATCTCTGCTATCAGTTTCTCCCTCCCCTGTGAGTACCATCATTTACTTTACTGACATAACTCCAAGCTCTAATCTGTACATACATACACATAAAAAGATTCATATAGTTTACATGTTCCATCATCTTTGTAGGACCGGCTGCTAAATGTACCTATTTTAGAAAAAATAATATCTCCTGTTGCTGTTTTTCAGTGCTGGCATGAAAAGTTC